ATTGTAGCTATGCCGCTCCACTATAATAAAGTACTTGGGTTCATACAAAGGAGTGTTAGTTACAAGACTAGCGAGGTCATCCTAAAACTATATGTTGCGCTTGTGAGACCTCACTTGGATTACTTAGTTCAATTCTGGTCACAGTATTACAGAATGGATATAGAATCCTTGGAAAGAATTCAGAGGAGAATGACAAGACTAATCCTGGGCATTAGGAACCTTGAATACAGAGACAGGTTAAAGCATCTTAATTTGCACTCCCTCGAGAGACGTAGAGTGAGGGGCGATTTGATAGAGGTGTATAAATGGATGTCATGGCTAAACAAAGGGGACATTACAAAGGTACTCAAACTATCCAACCAGGAACGAACTCATAGCATTGTTTTAAATTAGACAAATTTAGATTTAGGCACGAAATAGGTAAACACTGGTTTGGAAATAGAAAAGTGGACGAGTGGAACAAGTTACCAAATATCATCATTAACTCGAATACGCTGGATAACTTCAAACATAGGTTGGATGGATATATGAGCAATGGGGGTTGGGTGTAAACGGGGCTGCCCAGTATGGGCCAATAGGGCCGCTGCAGTTTCCTCCATTCTTATTTTCATAGTTTGGTGGTGTGTGATGGTGGTGGTGTGTGATGGTGGTGGTGTGTGTTGGTGGTGTATGGTGGTGGTGTGTTGATGGTGTGTCTTAGAGTGACCTCTTCTCTCCTGAGTTACTGCAGGTTGACACTTCTCTAAGCTAACCTAACCTAACCTTGGCACTACAGGGTCAGGAGCAAACAGTTATGGTCAAGACAGTAACTCGGTCGTCCATTTACCGCAGTTTAAGTTTTGTGGACTTACACCAGACACTAAAGGAGTTATGACAGTAACCCGGTACAGGTGTAGTTGTGTTCTGTACAGTATTGAATAACAGTATAGTATATTTACTGTTACGTTAACCCCGCCTGTATGGGGTCTCTCATGTTGAATAAACTCATCTGGTGGTAGCCAAAGGAAATGTTAAAAATGGCCATTCTGTGGTGAAGGGTTAGACTATTTTAGGATAATGGATCATGAGAGTTAGGATTACAAATACCTGACTATGTCTTGGGATGTACAAGATCTATAACTTTTTATTTATATTTTTTAAGCATTTATTAAACATTTATTGACACATATTAAAGTTTTTTTATTCAGTCTATTCACTGTGATGTGTGTCAAAATTTTATGCAAAGAAATCCATCAAGTTATGGGGCATTAGACTGAGTGTGACTTAGACTAACATGCCATAATATATCAACCTTTTTATTGAACAGATTTATATTATACTGTACAGCACTTGTGTTCCTGACTCGCATTTTCCACCTTCCTAAAGCAGCTTAGTGGTACAGTATACACTAGATACAGGACAGCACCCCAAGCTAATCCCAGTTCTCGTCATGGACCAAACCTCTGACCACTTGACGACGATCATATTACATGACACAGTAGAGAAGAGAGCATTTTGTACTGTGATCTAGGAAGAGTAGATAATATTACTGCATCTGGTAGTGTTCAGAGGAGAAAGCATCTAAGTGACTGTATTATTGACGAGAACATTGGCATAACTCCCTTTCAGAACTCCCCGAGAACTGCCCCCTTTACCCCCGAGCATCAATTTCTCAGCCCATCTGTACAGTATTTAATAACTCTGCAGATCCATTATGTAAGAGTTCAGGTAAGACTGATTATTGGTCTCTGAGGTGAGGGAACACGTGTAATGAAGCCCGGTTTACTCCTCACAGGTGGACAAACACATACGCAGGCTAGACTCGGATCTGGCAAAGTTTGAAGCCGAGATAAAGGAGAAAGCTCTTAACAACAGCAAAAAGGAAGAGGAAACTAACAGTAAGAAAAGTAAGACGTGTGTTGGTGGTGATGTGTGGTGGTGGTGATGTGTGGTGGTAGTGATGTGTGGTGGTGGTGTGTGGTGGTGGTGATGATGTGTGGTGTGTGATAGCCAATAAAATGCCAAGTGCGGGCATTGCAGCGAAAGGGTTAATATATAATAACACTCCACAAAAGTTGGTGGAGAAAAAAAGAGTCACTGATTCAGTTATTATGGGGGCCTGTGCTCACCCGAGGATGTGAATTACACGAAACACTTGGGAACTTTGTGTTTTGTTTGTCATCTGTGGTTATCACCATGTATGTGGATCAGATGTAAAAAAAAAATGGAAGGCTAAAATCCAAAACTTTTCACAAATATTGTGATGGTTGTAGTTATGCCAGGGTTGTGGTTGTTGTTTTGGGAAAGTTGTCTTTTATAATCTTACATTTTTTTTTTCAGAAGGAAGAAAGAAAAAAGAAGAAAAAGGCAAAAACAAGAGGAAAGGAAATCAGTCGGACGAGGAGGAAGCAACGCCCAAGACCGGTCGCAAGAAACTGAAGAAAAAACACGGGGAAGCGGAGTCGGTCATCGCGTCGGTCCTTCCTTGTCTGTCTATAGCTCACCCCTCCGACGTGCTGGACATGCCGGTCGACCCCAACGAACCTACTTACTGTCTCTGCCACCAGGTGTCCTATGGGGAGATGATCGCTTGTGATAAGATGGACGTGAGTTTTGTCTTCTTTGCGTTGTAGTGTCGTATTTCTTTTATTTTTAACCCGGTTTACTCGAGTATTTCGGCTCGTGATTTAACCACCGTGATACTAACCTAACCTAACGCAGCGACATCCCCGTTACCAGGAATAATTGGCGCAGAGCTCTTCCGGGGAGTGACGGATATCCGGGGAATGCGACGACTTTCTCAAAACTGGAAACAATCCCACATCCCAGAATAGTTTAAACCACTGTACGCATCTCACACGGAAAGACACTATCACACACCGGGGAAAGTTCCAGTCTTTAAATAATATATTCAGGATTATTTTATTAAATTTTTTTTGTTTTTAACTTAATTAGAGCTGATTATAGACTCCAGTACGTAGGTATAAACATTCCTTCAAGTTTTTTCATAAAAGAATAGTTTGTTTAAGGATCTTTTATTGAAACAATCTTGTAGATAATTTATTCAGGATCATTTTTGCGAGAGGTAAATATTTTCGCTCGTGCCTGCGGTCTAAATGTAATGGAAGTGTGTTTAGCCATGTGATTTAAGATGTGTAGTTTAGACTTTCTTAAACTCACACAAAACTTTCCCCAGCAGGAGGGTGCAATAGTGTTTGTCCGTGTGTGAGGCATAGTTTAGATCCTCCGAAACTTTTCCTAGTGCCGGGAAAATTCCTGGGATGTGAGATTTTTCTGGGCTTGAGATATTTGTCTCATTCCCGAAAGAACTCTGCACCAATTATTCTGACTAACGGGGTGATTACTGTATTGGGTTAGAGTAGGCTAGGCTAGGTTAGGGTAGTGTAGGTTACATTAGGTTAGGTCAGGTCAGGTTTGAGAGGTTAGTGTTGAACAGCAACTGAACCACCAAACATTATGACAGATACACTCACCTAACCTTTTTACCACCACACAGAGGTGAGCCAATACCTCACAAGGTACTGTACTCACAAGTCCTGGTGTATTGTACTCTGTCACTCACATACTTATGGCAATCAAACATGAAAGGTTGGGGGCCACTAACTCACTTCTAGTTCTCCAAGACCTGTGAGAGTCACCCAAACCTGTCTGGGCAGTAGATGACTTAACATGGGGGAGCAGGACTGAAGTTGTGCAGTTGTTGTTAATTCTTTTGGAGGAAGACAACAAACCCTAATCAAAAACAAGTAATGGTTCTCCTGGCCAACTCCTCAACTAGCCTGACCACTACTGTACTTCTCTGTTCCTGATAACTGGTACTTCGTGTGATTCTCAGATTACAGTTGCAGCTCTCTCTAAGCTTGTTACTTCTCTGTCACCAAGATACATTATTTCTGAATCTTTGGCTGTCTGTGTCATAGGAGAATAAGCTAACTTAAATCTTCAAAAGTATTGTAATTACTTGGCAAGCAGACAACCACTGATCTTAACCCCACGGGCATGAGTGAAATCATCTGGTATTACCCAAATAATATATTTTAAAGTGACATCCAGGAGTTGATGACGGGGTTAAGTTCAATAATTGTGTGACTGTCTTCAACAAATGTCTGGCTGGGTTGCTACATAGCCTTCTTGAGTCTGTTATAAAATTCAGCAGTTAACTGATAATACATCAATATGGCCTTTTATCTTTCATAATTTCTTCTCTGAGTTACAATAGTCAGTGTTTTCTTGTGCCAATTTAGCAACTTTGCCAAATTCTCAAATACCAAAAAGAATTAGTAAGGTGTCATTCATCATAGAGTAATGGGCCACAAATTGTACAGGGTATTGTTAGCTAAGGTAATGTTTGTACTGTACTGTACTGTACAGTTAAAGGTGTACAGTACAGTATACACAGTTAAAGGTGTACAGTATACACAGTTAAAGGTGTACAGTACATGCAAGTGTGGATATTGCTGGCACTGTGTGAGTGTGGAGGCGTGGATATTGCTGGCACTGTGTGAGTGTGGAGGTGTGGATATTGCTGGCACTGTGTGAGTGTGGAGGTGTGGATATTGCTGGCACTGTGTGAGTGTGGAGGTGTGGATATTGCTGCCACTGTGTGAGTGTGGAGGTGTGGATATTGCTGGCACTGTGCGAGTCTGGAGGTGTGGATATTGCTGGCACTGTGCGAGTCTGGAGGTGTGGATATTGCTGGTACTGTGAGTGTGGAGGTGTGGATATTGCTGGCACTGTGTGAGTGTGGAGGTGTGGATATTGCTGGCACTGTGTGAGTGTGGAGGTGTGGATATTGCTGGCACTGTGTGAGTCTGGAGGTGTGGATATTGCTGGTTTTGTGTGGCATCATCTGACAGTTGTAAACAAAGGTGCAGGATTAAGGATGATCAATAGTTGGTTTTTAAAGAATGTACTGTACAGGATCTCAAATAATATACAGTACACTACTTACTGACTTACTATTTCATGCTGTTCACTTTGTTTCACGTGTCATCTTGTTTCTCCTACGTACAAGTATAAAGTTATTTATCTACACCAGCAGCCATTATGTTTATTATTGTCTTATAATCAATGTGTAGACCAAAAATGTCCATTAAAAATGGGTTTTGTGATATTTTAAGACGTTTTAGGGGTGTAATTTATTTTCTTTGGAATGTGTCTCGGATTTTATAATGGGAGACTATGGGAAGATGTCTTCAGTTGATGACAAATCAAAATACAGGATTTTTGTCAGGAAAATAATCCTTTCATGTACTGTACAGTAGATGGTCATCTTACCGCCGGTTGTTTATCCGAGCCGGGGCTTTACCGTGCTATTAATTGAAACTAATACTACTATCTAACTGCATCAAACACGCCTTAACCACGTTTGGAAGATAAGTAATTAAACAATTTCCCGCCACCGTGCACGCGGGAATTGGCGGCTGAGGGGTGGAAGCAACTGCACGCAGTGTCTCGCTGTCTATTGTTGTCTGTGAATCTACGCTACTCACTATGTTGCTCTGTAATATTGTGTCTTGTATGATGATTTTATAGGTTATGAGGTTTAGGTGAGATTATTGTACCACTTGACTGGGTCATGATAATATTCCCTTTAGTACATTTAGTATTAAACAAAACATGTTTAACTAGTGTGAAAAATGTGTGATAAGTAAACTCAATAAATATATCTATGTAAACTAAACAATCAGTAAGTTTACAGAATAAAGTGTACTGTACTGTATGTACTCTACAGTAATTCCAAGAGTCGACCTTGAGTTTGTGAGTTTGACCACCCAGGGGGTCCTGGGGGTCTGGACCCCCCTTTTCATCAGAAAATTCCAATACTTTTTCTTTAATGCATAACTGTACTCGGGTGTTTTTGTATTGTATAGTAAAATCTTGTATTTTGTGAGTAATATAGACTGGAAAAATTGTGCCAAATTCAAATTCACCAAATACACAAACTAATGGGAAAAATAACAATATAGACTGGCCACTCTACATCAACCTCTGATTTTCCCATTTATAACCTCCAAATGATACAAATTCTGCCTTTATTGACTTAATTGTTCTTTTTGGAAACTATTGCGTGTTTTGTCCCAGCTGAGAAGAGATGCCCCGCCCCCCTCCTCACGAGTTACAGCTGATTGGCTGTTGCAAACCTGTCTGATTTTGTCCTGAAGTAATGATGTACAGTGTATCTCTAAATGAGTTTATTCATAATGACCGTTTCTGACGAGAAAGATATTTAGCTAAATTATATAAAGATACATAGCTTCATTATTTCAAACATAAGCACGTAGGAAGTTTATCAGTAATATTATACAGTATAGTCTTAATTTACGCGGTCAATTGAACCAGTGGACGTCTGCATAAAATGAGAAACGTGCAAATGAAATAACAGAACATATGGTATTAATTGAAATAGAGACTGGGCCAACCCTCAAACTACGCTTTTTCCGACACAATACGTACGTTGTAGTAAAAATAGCATCTTAATTTTATGATGGTATGCACACACACAATTAATATTTAAGAGAAATACAGTCGCCGGTTAATGTCCATTCAAATAATGGACTCAACTCCCCCCCCCTCCCCTTTTCCCACGCTCGCTGGCTCCTCCCTCTCTGAGAAATGCTTGGGTGAAAACACTAGGTTTTTAGGTTTAGTTATAAATAATACCTCACACTATGGTTAGGATAATATAATTGACATTGCTGGATTCCTTGCAAGACTGTGAATAATTTGAATATAAACGTCATATATTTTGCACAATAGATAAAATTTTTGCTCTCTAATAAAATTCTTAAATTAGATCTCAAATTTGTATGCAGGGCCGGATTTACCTACTTGTGGGCCCCAGGCCAAACTCATCAGTGGGCCCCGAAATTTATAGAAATGTTTGCATGTTTCAATAATCAATATATACAGTCATGCGCCGGTTAACGTCCTAAATACGTTCTTGGAAACGTGATGTTAACCGAAATGGATGTTGTCCGAAATTACAGAAACCTATGGGATTTATTCTAATTGGTTCCAGGCACCCAACCCAAAGTTTCCCATTTTACGACCATTTAGACCCTCTAAATATATATATATATATATAATGTTATGGTAAATATCATAAACACACATAGGCATGGCTAGGTTTATTACAAAGTGATGAAAAGGGTACGATCAATACTGTACAGTGGGTAGTCCGCAAAACATGTAGCTACGTCTCTCTTTATTTGAGTGCCCCGTCATAGGAGTCCGTTTTCTCTCACTTCAGGACGCCTGAGTCGTCCATTTTCTCTCAATCTTAGAGTGCAGTGCACCAGAGACTTCATTATTCTTTAGTAATGACACAGAATTTGAAACTGCAACCCCAATTTTGCAATTGTTGAGGCAACTAGATATGTCTGATTACAGCAAATGTGTTATTGTCAATTTGTAGGTGAAAGATTTTATCCTCAATAGATGTAGGTTAACATTACACCTGGAGGCAAATGCCTAAGGAAGGAAGGATATTCCTTTAACACATAATATCTGGCCAGTATGGGGAGGATCATCGTGTCTCCGTCAGGGGGTCGTGGAGTGGTGGTCCAGCAGGCGTCACGGAAGT